GTTCCTAACTGAACAAGGCTAAGGGAAGGAGCACCACCCAGTCCACGCCAGTCTCTGTGGTTAATTTAGCCAGAGTCTCTTTTAGAGTTCTGTTTATCTTTTCTACCTGTCCTGGACTCTGGGGTCTGTGAATGCAATGTAATTTCCAATTGACCCGTAGTTGTCTGGCCACTCCCTGACTCACCTTGGCGACGAAAGCGGGCCCATTGTCGGACCTGAGCTCCTAGTTCAAGGGCTTTCATGAGGGTGATGAGTTCTGCCTTCTGGGTGGATGTTCCGGCAGGTAAGGTCTGTGCCCATATCAGGTTCTGGCCATCTATTGCAGTGGCTCTTGTCTTTTGTACTCCTTCCTCCAGGAAACTGCTGCTGTCAGTAAACCAGGTGGCTTCGGCGTCCGTCAGAGGGTGATCTGACAAGTCTTTCCGCCATCCATGTGCCTCAGCAAGCACTTGTTGACAATCATGGATAGGCGGGTCGAGGTCAGAGTCCGGCAGCAGTGTGGCTGGATTTAAGCTCGTGGCGGAGCAAAAGTGACCCGGTCTGAATTCAGTAACACAGTCTGATAGTGAGTCATGCGAGCATTTGTGAGCCAGCGGTCGGGGGGCTGGCGGACAACACTCTCTAAAGCATGAGGTGCTGAGATTACTAAATTCTGTCCCATAGTCAGTTTGTCAGCATCTTTTACTAGGACAGTAACTGCCGCTACAATCCTTAGACAGGCTGGCCACCCAGCAGCTGCTGGGTCTAGTTTTTTAGACAGATATGCTACAGGCCTTTTCCAGGGCTCTAGATTTTTTTTTTTTTTTTGTAGTACGCACATTGATCCTTTGCCAGGGGTCCCTTTCTGTTGCCTGGTACTGTCATACTGGGCTCCCTAGTTTCCTTGACTACAGTGGCCAGAGTTTTGTGAAAATTTCTTTCTTGGTGCCTTTACTAGAGTGGTCAATTAAAGCAACTGTCACAGTAGCTTTCTGCTCTTTACGATTAGGATCATATGGGGTAAACTGACGGAATGCTGATGGAGACTTATTGGGCCCCTAGATTACCTCTTTTACCTTAGTCAAATTGGTGGGGCATTTTGCTGCCCTTGGAGACCTGCCATTAGAGCCTGGCGATAGACCTTCAGGTGCTCCCTACCTTCTGCCGAGTTGAAATCACAGTTTGGTCTGGTCAACGGGAATCCTGCATCTATGACATCGGGGAGGAGAGTAGGTTGTTTTCTCCTCGGTGGTGAACAGGACCTGGAGGAGCTGCTGGCAGTCATCCCAGGTGGGCTGGTGGGTATAAAAGACAGACTCCAAAAGAGAAATTAGGCCTTGTGGCTCATTAGAGAAAGAAGGATTCTGGTTTTTCTAATTATATAAGTCACTCATGGTAAAGGGACCATAGACCATAAAGGGTTTTTGGGCACTGGGGCCTGACGTAAGGGCAAAGAAATGGGGGGGGCAGGAGTCGTGAGCTACGAGGGGTCCGTGTATGTGAGTCAGATACAAGGTCTTGCCAAGGCCTCATCTGGTTTCCTCACCGTCATCTCAGGACCCTGCAAGATTTTGATTTGTAGGACTTATTCCCAGGTAGACATGTTATTTTATACTATAAAAATCAGAAGGATACTTACAAATAGTTTTTAAATTTTGGAGGCATCAAAGAGGAAAAAGCAAATATTTTCATCTTTGTTTATAAAGCACATTTTACCAAATGCTGTAAGTTATAGATAGTTTAGAGAAAAAATTTCCTTAAAACAAAACATTTAAGTAAAGAACAAACAATGCAAGTTACAAAACATTTTTATCAGTTACTTAACTTTGTATACTTAATTTTTGCTTTACTTGATCTTAATTAGTAGTTCTATGAACTCACCAGATTTTTTTACTGGAGTATTGAAAACCTTTTATTTTGTCCATTGTTCTCAAAGTTATTTGACCTTAATATTAAGTTTTAGTCTTTAGAAAAACTTAGCTAATTGTCTTTTAATTATAATCAATTTAATCATACAAAAAATCTTTTTATAAATTTACTGTTTACAAACTATTATTACCACTTACTCGGACCCTTTATGACATGCTCTAGACCTTTTATTTGTCCTATACTTCCCACTTCCCAAATAACCAGTCATTTTGCTCTAAGACAAAAGTTCACCACACACGATGCTTTTTTATAATGAAGTATTTTCTTTTCCTGCATAAATTAACCTCATTTATCTGAAAATCCCATGATCAAAGATCATTCTGTTTTAGGCTGGGCTTATAACTTTAACCTTAAATCCTCTAGCAAAGACAAATGTAATCCTGTTTGACCAGCAAACCCAAGCAGATATTCCAAAAACATTTTTCATAGCAGCGTGATTTTTTTTTTAAAAAAGCCCCTTTTTTTAACCTTTTTAGTTGCTCACATTTAGCTAGAACCGGCTGCATTGTATAAGAAAACAGAATCTCTAAGTGGCCTTGATTTTTCTAACAGGTTTTTCTTATAACACTTGCAGAACTCCGTGCACAGATAGACAAATTTTGTCCAGAGACTTAGCTAATTACACTGTCCGGTTTTTCAAGCTTGCCAGGAGAAACTGAGAAAAAAATAAATTCTTTCAGTCATCAGGTTTTTAATGACTAAAATGCACAAACTTAGTTACCCAAACACAAACAGACAGACAAATTATTAGCCCTGGCTTTCACGTCAGTCCGGTATTTCAGAGCCAGATTTAAAGGAGTTGAGACAGTTTCATGTCGCCCCAGACCCCCATCAGTTCCACACACACATGTAAGACTGGCCACACACACATACACACAGCCAGACAAAAACACCGGTGCACTCCTGCCAGGAGTGCTACAACCAGATTATCAGAGGGGTCTCTTTCTTAGAGATCTCCCACGGAGCCAAACCTGTTTGTCTCCTACAGAGGAGTCTGGAGCATCCTCCAGGACTCCTGTGGCTGTGGCATGCCGGTACGTCTACCTGCCACTATGACCACTACAGACAGATGGCTCCACCTCGGAGCCTCAGAGAATCCAAAACCAGATCAGTGTTTCCATCCTGGAGCCACTGAGAAACCCCAAACAACAGAGAAATCTCAAAGGCACCTGCAGACAGACAGCGACAACCGCGGTACCTGCTCTAGAGTAATCCGCCGTTCTCTAGTCTCGGGTCCCAGGGAGAGTGAGTCAAATCCTTGACG